TGCAAAACCTTGTAACTGTCATGCTTTGTCCAAATCTACTGAATAATTATTACAAGACTTTATTCAGTTACTTTGATAGTTATTTCTTTTTACTACTTTTTAGTGAATTAATTTCTATTATTATATTATTTTTTAATTCACTCTGTTCAGCTTGGAAACACCCTCTTCTTTTTTATTGTGGTAAACTTCTTCATATTAAGTAAATTTTATTGTGGCTACAAGTCTGTTTTGTTTTTCAATATGACAACACCAGAACCTGCCTCTGTCACAGAGAGTTGTTGTATGAACATGAATGCTTACATTATGATGAGCGTGAAATGAACAACCTAAAGTAAAAATTAAAGTTATTATGTACTTGCAAGGCTGTGCTCCAGCNATTATTATTATTATTATTATTCAATTTTTGAAATGACTGGTGATTTGTTGATGTAGGAATTTTCCACATTTAAAGTCTCGTTAAGTACGATGCTGAGTTATTTTAAAGGCCTGTTTTTGCATTTGCTAAATCCAAGACCTCATAAATATAATACTGAGCCTCTCTTAACTGACTTAATTCACACCAATGAGCTTTAAACCGGCCTCTCCCCTCCCTTGGCACTTTAGCCCACCCAGTTTCGTGGCTTTAGTTTCAGATAACCTGCCCACAGCAAAGTTGCAGAGTGAGGTTACCGCGAGGAGATGGACTTAATTTTAGCAATGAACTATAGTCCGGAAGCCAGGACTGGAAAATTGAGGTTTCGCACAACCAACGAGTTAGAAAGGTTTGATAGTAGGTTTTGATAGAGGAAGACCTGCTGATTAACGCTAGGTAGTTTGTAAAGTCAAATTGTGGTATACGTTTTGCGTTAAGAGGGTGTACGGTGTTTTCGTGGACAAACCACTGTTCAGCATGAAAACGAGGCCGACTTATAAAGCGGGATTCCCTGGCCTTTTGACTATGATTTTAAGACTAAACCTTTTATGTGAAGTCAGTTTCATAACAGGAACTTTGCTTACTCTTTAAATCCATGAAACATGTACCATGACTGGTCATGTGACTCCGTATTCTATGCAAAACACTCTCAGGTAAATACTTATCAATATAGTTTACTTTCATTTACAAACATCGGCCTATCATCTCAAGGAAAGAACGAACGTTTTTGTGTTAGAAAAGATAAATTTGCACTAAATTCTTATGTAAAAGCTAGAATTTCTCTTTTAAAGTAAAGTTTAAATGGATTTTAAAGAGTTATCCTCTCAGCATGAAAACGAGGCTAGATAGTGGGTAGACCTTTTCGCTTTCTTTTTCCACATGGTAATCGTTAAGAACTATGAAATTGTGTGACAAATCATCCAAGGGTTATCCTTATTGTTTTGATAGGTGTGTAATCGTCCATTCCATTCTTTCTATCAGAAAATTGGAAAAGGAGAGTTTTTCTCTAAAAACAAACCGAGACTTTACTCACTAGTATTATGGGATACATCGCGATGAGTCTTACACTTAACTTATTACTAATACTTCATGGAGCAAGTGATCTCTTTTGAAAGCTGCTGCTTTTTAAGTTATGGAACAGTGTAAATCTATCGAGGCCTAAACTTAGTTTCATGGTTCAATCATCACAATCAGAATCACTGACATCGTCTTCCTCCCATTGTATCCCGTGTGGTTTGCAACATGTTTTCTTTGCCATACAAGTGCAGGCCTCGGTGCAGGAAAGACCGACATTGGCGCAGGAACAGTTGTTTCGACATTCAGACATCTTGCAAGTGCAAGTTGTCAGCTCTAGTAAACTGCTGGGTAGGGAATCCTTCGTCATAAGGTGGGGTTTCCGCTCCCCATCTTCCATTATCCATCCATGTCCCACTGGAGAAGGGATTTCTCCCAAGCCATCAAGAGAGCTCTCCAGATATATGTCTGATATTTGTCTGTGGTTTCTTCTTTGAGGTTGGATAGATGTTACAAATAAATGCTTCCCATTTTCTCAGTGTCTCTTCGTCTTCTTGCTCTTCTTGTCCCAGAAGACCAAGACTTCCCTGGTTCCCTTGGCTTCGAATCGATCGTTGCTTTCCATGTTTTTGTCTTACCAATCCCTCAGATTGAACTGTTGCTGTCAATGTGCCAGTTTTTCGATAAAAGTGGTTACCCTGGTTCTGTCGTTCAAGCGGGTTACCACCGCGCCCAACTTATTGATCGACATTCAGCACTACAAACGTCACAAAAGGAAGATTCCGACCTCATTCCTATCATTCTCACCGGTTTCACCCTCACAACCACTTAGTTAAATCCATCATTCTTAAAAACTTTAAATTACTTCAAAACGATCCAGAGACAAGCACTATCATTTCGCAGCCTCCGCTCATTTCATTCAAACGCGACAAAAACATAGGAAATGTTTTGGTCAGAAGTTCTTTTCAGACTAATGACCAAACCAGGCACTTTTAAATGGACGACAAAACGCGGAGCCTACTCCATGGAGTACCCTCTGGGGTACCTGGATGGAGCACCCCTAAAAATCATGTATTAGTCAAATGAAATAGTTTATGAACATGGTGAATCGTTTAGATGTACATATCCTGATATATTTTGAGCTTGTCAGCTTGAGACTTAAAAAGGTAATCCCTATCTTTAAACTGAGCTTCTCCTCACCCATCTTTTTTTAGCGTAATAAAATTGAGGTATATACACAAACCAAAAAAAAACAGTGACGGGTCGGCAAATAAATCCGACTGGGGTTGTTCATCTGGGAAATGCAGTATGCTTAAATAGTTTACCTCGTGCAGAGATCGAAACAGTGGGTTTTGTTTATCACATGGAGTTGTTTGTCTTCTCGTCAAAGGACTCATTACACAGCGGTAAAACCAAAATGGATGAACCAGTAAGACTGAGAGCCCTAGTAAACTGTCCCCCAAAATCCTGGATTGTATCGAACTGTGGCATTCGGAGAGCTTGTAAGCTCAATATATTTTAGGATATGTACATCTAAACCATTCACCATGTTCATAAAATATTTTATTTGACCAATACATGACTTTTAGGGGTACTCCATTAAGGTACTCCAGAGGGTACTCCATGGAGTAGGGCTCCGCGTTTTGTCATCTCCCCTTTTAAATGCACTCGTGCACGATGCAAAACATGTCCTTTCATTCACAACGCAGAGAAAATATCGGGACCCAAACGATCCATTAAGATCACCGATCACTTCACGTGCACCCCTGTCAATGTAATCTATTGCATAACTTGCACTTATTGCAAAGAGATTGACATCGCCGGGCGAAACAGGCAGAAGACTAGGTGACCGATTCCGAGAACACCTTCGCGACGTGGAGAAAATCAAGATTAATAAAATTCAGCACCAGGGCCTTATAAAACAATACCAGAAAAAGAAAGCCGCAAGGTGAGAAATCAAAGCGAGCGAAGGGCCTTCAAGATAGCTCCCCGATAGCTTCGATATAAAGAATATTGGCCTTGAGGGTTTAAGTGAACGCCATCGGACAAGTAAGGACTGACGGTGGGATTACTAAAGCCCTTATGGCGCCAGGAAAAAACGTTGGGACAAGGCTCTAGAACATCGGTGAGATATTGGTTGAGGATCGTTGCCGCCGTGTTGAAGAACGGCGCTCGAACACGAGGTATCACCTCGCAAATACCGATGACTCGTACAGAGTACGATTGGAGCAGCAATTGAACCAAATCATCGATCCCTGAACCGACGACCTCGGGACGGTTAGCACCAAGATCATTAGTGCCTATTTCAAGAATGATGACGTCGGGTTTTAGGGCAGAAACAACACCAAGGTCGTAAAGGCGAAGTTTCTTCACAGTACGACCGCCCACGCCATGCAAGTGAATCACGGCGTCGCCCAAAAGATTAAAATGCTCGGCAGCACGGGCATCAAAATTGGATCTAAGGTCTGAACTCAGCCTTCGAACAAACGAATGGCCTAAAATAAGAACTGTGGGAGGTGAGCTAGCCCTAAAACCAAAGAAAGAAAGTCGAAACGAAGAAAGCTGTGAATTCGACCAAGCACATGTGCAAGCAAAATGTAAGAAATAGACCAAACCACAGAAAGTTCGGGACTTCTAAAGACAAATCGTCAAAGAGGAAACTGTTTTAAGGGATGAAATTAATAAAACTCACCTCGAATGAAAAACCACGATGAAAAACCACGATGAAAAACCACGATGAAAAACCACGTCTATAATCGTAACGGTGGCCAATTTACCATTTCTACTTTGTTGATATATTCAAATTATTTCGTTACCCCCACCGACGCAGCCCCAAACAGTTTCTTTAGAAACTATTAGCCTTTTTAGTGATTAGTACTTGTCTAAGAGTGTTTTTGCATATTCAGAGTCACATGACCAGTCACGGTACATGTTTCACGGATTTAAAGAGTAAGCAAAGTTCCTGTTATGAAACTGACTTCACAGAAGAAGTTTAGTCTTAATTCATGGTCAAAAGGCCAGGGAATCCCGTTTTATAAGTGAGTTTCGTTTTCATGCTGAACAATGGTTTGTCCACGAAAACACCCTCTTAACGCAAAACCTATACCACAATTTGACTTTACAAACTACCTAGCGTTAATCAGCAGGTCTTCCTCTATCAAAACCTACTATCAAACCTTTTCTAACTCGTGGGTTGTGCGAAACCTCAATTTTCCAGTCCTGGCTTCCGGACATGATAAGAAAACGATCGAAAATGAAATTAATACAGTTTCCTTCCGTCGCGCCATATATACCTAATTATATATGGCCTGTGCGTGCAAATTTGAAGAGACACTCCCTTAAATCTGACCACTTCCGCGCGTGATTGCGTACTCAAAGTATAGCGGAATATTGCGAAATTAACTACGTAAGTCTCTTTACAATTCTCAATATTAGATTTTGTTCAGTGCCCTACGTGCCTGAGATACTTCGTAAACTCAAAATAACTGGGCGAGGTCGCAAAGGTCTAACCCTGATTGAGCATATTCGTCTTCCGGTCTTGCGCAGTTGTCATCTTTTGACGTAGGATAAAGATTTGAAGAACGCGAAGGAAGTGCTACGGACAGCAATATTTACGTGTCTCATAAGACCCGTTATCGGTGAAATCCTTTTATAATGAAGTTATATCATACAATGTTATTTCTATGGCTAGTCGCTGTTTTACGTGGAGTTTCAGGAGAAGCAGGTAAGGGTTTGTAACCCTCTTCTGAAGCGTTGTTAGACAAATGAAACAAAATACACTCCTTGATACGAAAATAGATTGTTGAAATTGCTGCCAGGTGGATTGTTGTTGAGTGAGTTTGAAATACGTTCGTGGGATTTGTACCGAAACAATTTGATTTGGGGAAATCTATGAATGTATTTGTGATTTTGAAAGTATTTGTGATTTTCGCCTAACGTTATCGCTCGCGCGCTGTCGAACCTTCCATCGTTCGAAAGGTTTCAATTTAAAAAAGATTACAGCTGCGAGTTTTGCGAATAATTTTGAAGATCAACTGTATAGCTTTGAATATGATTGTGTTTGTTACGATAATTACTTCCTTATTTTGGTTTAGTGATCGTTTTGGGAGAAGTTGATAGATAAAGTCCCATTGCTGTTGTAATCCACTATGATCTTTCAAAACTATTCTTATTCAGCCTTATATGTCGTCTGCATTTGATCACCAGGATTTAACAACTACAGGGTTAAATGAGTTATTTGTTATGATATGAAGGAAATGAAAGGGTAGAAAATTAGAGGTAAATTAATTTGTACTTGCAGACGGACTGGTGTAAAAATATGCATAGAAAGAAATAGCCTAGTGAAACCCATATATATATAATATAACTAACTGCAGACAGTACTGTTTCGGCCTTCTGGGCCTCATCAGAGTTTTGAGCCTCTTACCCATAATCCTTTTGAACCACCACAAACCAACAACAAAAGTCCTGCCGTAAATACGATATCGGAGTTTTCAACCTTTATGAAACTGTCCTCACTCAACCCCTCCAAAGCACAAGGGCCAGACGGCATCCCGGTATGGTTATTAAGAGAAAACGCTGATCTCTTGGCGGGACCAGTCTCTGTGATCCTTAACTCCTCGTTCCATGAATCCCGCCTTCCTGGAAAGAGACTGACATAGTCCCGTTCCCAAAACAAAGGCCCATTAATGATATTAACAAGCACCTCCGTCCCATTTCTCTCACGCCTATCTTGTCCAAACTCGCTGAAGACCACATTGTTGAGAAATATGTTTAACTAGCCGTGTTACGGAGTATCGACCCTCGCCAATTTGGATCTATTCCCAAATCGTCTACCACACATGCTCTGGTCAACATGACGCATAATTGGCTTGTTAACACCAACGGAAATGGTGCCACGGCAAGAGTAGCCCTACTTGACTTCCGTAAGGCTTTTGACCTTATCGACCATAGTGTTCTCGTTCAAAAACTAGCAACATATGATATTCCGAGTCAAACCAAAAGCTGGATTGTTGACTTTTTGATG